TACAGTCCCTAACACCAACCCTACACTGTACCGGAGCTGGCCCTCCTCATGTACAGTCCCTAACACCAACCCTACACTGTACCGGAGCTGGCCCTCCTCATGTACAGTCCCTAACACCAACCCTACACTGTACCGGAGCTGGCCCTCCTCATGTACAGTCCCTAACACCAACCCTACACTGTACTGGAGCTCCTAACGAGGGTCCTCCTCACATGCAGACCTGAACACCAACCTCACACTGTACTGGAGATGGCCCTCCTCACATACAGACCCGAACACCAACCTCACACTGTACTGGAGCTCCTATGAAGGGCCTTCCTCGCATACAGACCCTAACACCAACCCCATGCTGTACCGGAGCTCCATCCTACAGAACCCACAGCCCCAGGAACCGCCACTGCTGTAAGTGTGATGATTACTCTGCTCTCTGCTGCCACAGCCTATAAACACCAGAGCAGCTGAGAAATCGGAAACCGGAAGCACGGGCGTGAGGGCAAACCGCGAAACAGCCAGGCACTCTTACGTTTCTGCTGTAATTTTTAGGTCGTTGTTCCGTATGGTGACACCTCCTCAGCCGGCGAAGGCTGACCGTATGCCGCTCACATTGGGGCTCTGAATATTTGGCTGTTTAAAGCTTTCTACACTGCATTGCCCAAACACAGTGCTGCCTGACAGCTTTCAGTAGGAGCCGTCATTAACGCGCTGCGTCTTGCTGCACCCCCAGCCTGTGCTGGGCTCTCTCCCCAGTGCAGCATGTGGTGAAGATGTGCCACATTAAGCAGGAAGCTGAGGCACAAACTCCCTCTTCCTGCTCAGTTACAGCCGGCAGGTTGGCATGCCTCTCTGTCCTCAGGGTGTCAGTGCATATTTTTCAAGTAAATTCAAACAAGAGAAAGATGTATGGAGAGTTCATGTACATAACCTCAAGTTATGTCAAGTAAGTCCTACTTAAAGACAATGAAATACATGATGCCATTCACCAGGTCACACAGGTGTTTCTGAAATAGCTTTTAAAACTTTTGGTAAAATGCAACTTTTAAACGACTTATTACCCATGACTAGATTGTACAATCAAGCACCACATCTGTCCTTGTCATAATATCCTAATAATTACAGCTTAATAAACGCATGCTATAAGCATTTATACATGCAGACAGGTGCGTAGTGAAGCCCCGCACGCGGCCGGTGCCCGGCGGGCTGCCGCTAAGGGTGTGGTGCCGCCGGGCGGAGCGCGGGCACAAAAGAAACGGTTCTGAGGACGGATGGGTGCAAATGATACCGTCTCTCAAAACGAGGAAATCGTCTGCTTCTACCAGCTATGAAGTCTCTATCTAAATAAACACATGAATGAATAAATGCTGCATTTCCCCCATAGCAACTTTTATTCTGGAGGGTGGGGCACTGATTAGCACGCACTTAAGTTGTGAACGAACATGCAGTGCAGTTAATATAGAGATTTATAAAATTACAAAGCACTTCCCGTGCAACTTGATCGCAGACAAGTTTCAAACCCAAACTGCGCCCCTCATCCTTACCTGCGTCGGGGTACCGCGGCCGGCCGAGATCGCGAAGATAGTAACTGAAATCCAGGCAGCTGTCGCTTTGCACTTCGCCCTTAGAGCAGAGATCCGACAGGAGCTCCAGCGCCTTCCGACACACGTCGTGCTCCCTGTCGCCGGGCATTTCCCCCCCGCATCCTTGTGCATGGAGGCGATTTGCTCTTTCTCCGACCGCCACCTCACCCACTCATCGCAGCATCAGCACCAGCGGCGGGCGGAGCGCAGCTCTCCACGGCGCGGCTCCTGTTACCAAAACCCGGCTCTGCGGCTCCGTGGCTTGTGCCAGGGGATCAGAAGCAGCATCTAAGGACCCGAGCAGCTTTACTGAGGACAGGCTGAGGATGGAGAGAGGAGTGCGGGCTGGCTCACTTCATGCACATACACGTCCATCCTCCCAATAGGTGTCACGGTTTATGTGAATGACGCCGGGGATGTCCTGGTAAAACCTAATTATGGGCAGATCTGCATCCCCGAACCATGTCGCTTTACTGTGCTGAATAAATAAATCCTATTGATTCTGAAACCCGCGTAAACTGGGCCGTCTACCTGACCTAAAAACCTGAGAAATGAATTCTGTTAACAACAACGGACAGTAAGACGCTTGGGAAATAGAGGGAAATTTAAGTAATTTTGTAAAATAATTAGATTTATCTATTCAATTAAAAGAAATAGATTACTCAAATTATATTATTTATAATTCTCTAAGGAAGTGGTACACACAGGTATTGTTTGAAGTGTGTGTGTGTGTGTGTGTGTGTGTGTGCGTCCGTGGATTAGGTTTATATTACATTTTGGGGACCAAATGTCCCCCACAATGTGATAAAAACCTGTTATTGTTAGTTTGTGGAGACCATTTTTCAGGTTTCCACAAAGATCTGAATGCAATAAAAAATAAATAAAAATGCCAAAAGTCTCATATCTTGTTTGGTTACTTATGGTTAAGGTTAGGGCTGAGTAGGGGTTAAGGTCGTCATGGTAGGATTAGAGTTTTCCCCATAGAAATTAATGGAGAGTCCCTGCATGTGTGTGTGTGTGTATACGCGTGCGCACACACACACATGTTGGATCTAAGAGTAAGAGCAAGGTAGTCACCTTGTGCCCAGAAATTGTGGAAACTCCTTCAGGACTATTGGAGATGCATTCCAGGTGGCTACATCTGGAAGCTGGTTGATTGAATGCCCAGAGTCTGCAATGCATATTTGATATGTGTTACTTCATTACCTCGAGGCTTTTTAATATAAGGTTAAAAACAAAGCTAAATGCATTAAAAGCAGATGTGTTCAAACCTTTGACTGGTACTTTATATATACACACACTGCGGTCTTCGTTATAGGTACACCTGTATTCAAGCAATTATCAAATCAGCAATCATGTGGCAGCAGCACATTACATAAAATCATGCAGATACTGGTCAGGATCTTCAAAGTAATGTTGACACCAAAGAGAATGGGGAAAGTGAGCTATATGAACAAAAGTATTGGGACACACCTCTCAGTTATTAAACTCAGATGTTTCATTCAGACTCATTGCCACAGGTGTATAAAATCAAGCACGTAGCCTTGCAGTCAGGTTTACAAACATTTGTGAAAGAATGGGTCATTCTAAAGCGTGGTGCTGTCATAGGATGTCACCTTTGCAATTTGTCAGTTTGTGAAATTTCTTCCTTTGCCAGGCAGCTGTAAGTGGTATTATGGCAAAATTTAAGAATTTAAGAACAATAGAAACTCAGCCACGAAGTGGGACACCATGTAAAGTAAGAGAGTGGGGTCGCTGAGTGCTGAAGCGCATAGTGCATAAAGCTCAGCAATCCTCTGTAGACTGAATAACTGCAGAGTTCCAAACTTCCTCTGGCATTAATCCCAGCATTAAAACTGTGCGCTGGGAGCTTCATGGAATGGGCTTCCATGGCCGAGCAGCTGCATACAAGCCTCACATCACCAAGCGCAATTCCAAGCGTCAGATGGAGTGGTGTAAAGCACACTGCCACTGCACTCTGGAGCAGTGGAAATGTGTTCTGTGGAGTGATGAGTCACGCTTCTCTGCCTGGCAGTCTGATGGATGAGTCTGGGTTTGGCAGGTGCCAGATGAACGTTACCTGCCTGACTGCAACTGTAAAGTTTGGTGGAGGAGGGATAATGGTATGGGGTTGTTCTTCAGGGGTTGGGCTTGGCGCCTTAGTTCCAGTGAAGGGAACTCTTAATGCTTCAGCATACCAAGACATTTTGGACAATTCTATGTTCCATCTTTGTGGGAACAGTTTGTGGAAAGCTCTTTTGTATTTCAGCATGACTGTGCCCCAGTGCACAAAACAAGGTCCATAAAGACATGGTTGGGTGAGCTTGGTGTGGAAGAACTTGACAGGGCGGCACAGATCCCTGACTTCAACCTCATCAAACACCTTTGAGATGAACTAGAATGGAGATTGTGAGCCCGGCCTCAGCATCTAACATCAGTGCCTGACATGATTGTTGGTACCAGACAGCCTGGTTTGAGTATTTCTGTAATGTCAGGGTTTGGACCTAGTGGACTGCATTTCTCATAGTTCTGTTTGGTTAGGTTGCAAGCCGCAGTTCATATTAATCATTCTATAGGGCAATCAGTAATAGCACCTGTGGATTATTAACCACCTTATTTACACTTAGCTATACCCTCAATTGCCTGCGAGATGCTCAGTTTGGTTTTCCACACTAGAGTGGTTTGATCTCAGGTTTTCAGTCTTGTCTCCTTATCTTTGGTTTTTGCCTTATGGACTACGGATCCAGTGTCCCAATTTTAATTTTATCCGACCTACCTGTACCTTTGCTAAAGCTGAAAAGTGTGAGTTCCATCAAAGTAAATTGTCTTTCCTGGGATACATCCTCTATGCAGGGCAGATCGAGTTGGACCCAGAGAAAGTACGTGCAGTCACAGAATGGTTTGTCCCTACCTCATGTAAAGAATTACAACACTTTTTGTTTGAGCTTTGCCAATTTTTATTGCATTTGTCCAGCTTGATAGTTGCACCCCTTACTACGCTAACTTCTGCAAAGAATGTGTTTACGTGGAACAACAATGCAGACTCAGATGTCAGGGAACTCTAGTCCCGAATCACTTCCGCCCCAGTCCTAGGGATCCCTGATATAACCCTCTGCTCACTAACGCATAGTACACTGTAGTGGCCTACCTAGTCACTGGATTTGAATCCAATCTAACACTTTGTTTTGGATGTGGTAGAATGAGTGATTCGTAGCATGATTGTGCAGCTGGCAAATCCGCAGAAACTGTGTGATGTAATTATGTCAGCACTGACCAGAATCGCAAACAAATGTTTCCATCATGTGGAATCAATGTTACGAAGAACTGAAGTATTCCATGGTGATGTTCAGCGTGACATTAGCCAGTGATGGGTGCATCATGGCAGGCCACTTTCCACATTGACCATAGTGGGTCATCTTTCCTGGGTCTTTACGTTTCACTGAGCTGCAGATGTGCCAAATATCTGCCAGTGTTGTTCGGCTATATAAACTAACAGCTGTTTGCCTTTGGACAATAAGCTCTGTTAACACCTTTGTGCTGTTTTAATCTTAAGCTTCATGTTTCCTTTAGCTCTCCTGACTCTCTCTCCTACTGGCTGTTCTTCACCACAGACATTTCCACCGCTTTTCTCACGTTGCTTGCCCACGTTTCCATGACCCTTTTTCCCCTGAAGCACCTGCCAAATGCCCCTGATGATTAATCTCTTCACCAAGGTCTTTTCTTGTATGCTAATTTTTGTAGCATTTTACACAACAAGATTATAACCTCTGCTTCTTTATAATACAGAATGAGGATTTCAAATGCTCAACAAAAATCAGACACAACTGATATAACCATTTGTTTATTTGTTTGCTTTTTGGGACATTTTGGTTCCTCCCAAATATCCCCGGGGTCAGACACCCCCACCACAGCCTGAAAATGCAAACCCACATTCGATGACGGCATGGATATAGCTGAACAGAAAATGAGACGTATCATTGTGAGAACTGTTATATATTAGAATTTGACAAAGTCAGACATCCTGGACACACTTGCAAGCTTATTTATTGTTTCCCTGTTATTTCTGTCTGTCTGGTACATTTCACCGGTTTGTAGCATATGAGACAGTATGACATTCACTCGTCATTCGTGCTGCTGGAGTCCTGCTGTTTTCTGACGGGTCCGTGATGAGGACACTGGTGCGGTTCCTGCCTGCAAGTGCGGGTCCATCATCCTGCTGTCTGTGTTACCAGACCCCCTTCATCTCACCTGAAAGCTTTGACCTGACTTGGCCTCTGGCCTCTGTGATTATAGCTTCCCTGCTCAAGATGGTCTGTCAGGCTGCTACTGCTTCTCTATCGCACGGTCCAATCAGGATGTCGGCTTCTCTCTCATGCGGTCCGGTCGGGATGTCGGCTTCTCTCTCATGCGGTCCGGTCAGGATGTCGGCTTCTCTCTCATGCGGCCCTGTCAGGATGTCAGCTTCTCTCTCATGCGGCCCTATCGGGATGTCGGCTTCTCTCTCATGCGGCCCTGTCGGGATGTCGGCTTCTCTCTCATGCGGTCCGGTCGGGATGTCGGCTTCTCTCTCATGCGGTCCGGTCGGGATGTCGGCTTCTCTCTCATTAGATCCGTCCGGGATGTCGGCTTCTCTCTCATGAGATC